TTAAAGTACAGTGCATTTAAACACTTATGATCTGGATAAGGAGGTGCGGTGGATCTAGTTGTCATGAGCCGTGCCATCAGGATAACAATCATGATGATAAAATGATGCAATCCCCAAAGAGAATACAAAGAGGGAGTGAGAAGAAAGAAGCGGGTTATACTAATCGGAAGGGAATGAAAATTAATAGCTACTTGCAAGAAAGCAAATGCAGGATGGCCACGGACTGTGCGACTGCGCCATGTCCGATCGGGTTTCCATTCGTTGGTGTAGACCATCCGGAAGCCCTGATCCATGAAGACTATACGCACCAGCTTAAGCAAGTCTCTCGGTTACTTCCTGCATGCCCTTATACTAGTCTTTGACTGGGCACCTCGGTCTTCCATTCAAAATGTTGCGGCGAAGGGGCATATTGCATGCCAAGGAAGGCTGCTTACGGAGGATACCACTTAGTCACTACCGGCGAGTTGAAAGCGGTAAGTTTTGGAGGGTGTGTTCTCCGTTTTTCTGTGGCCCGAATTACGAAGCAATCAGTTGAATGGTGTTCATTCCAAGTATTAATATGGCAATCCTAGTAGTATCTGGATATTCCATCGTTTAAAACTTCCCACGTTATTCCATTACTATCCTGTAATCTGGGAAATGTTATCTCACATTTTCCCGAGTTTGTATAGTAGGTCATGGAGAATCGTTTTGTCACCTGACTTCCTATTTCAAGAAAACCATCTGTTCTCCCAGCGACAACTCTTGACAAGCATTAAACATATGACCGTAAGACGAGTACTGCTAGGCTTGATAATCACAAAGCCTGATGCACTCCTGATCAGAATACAAAGTCAGTTGCATGAGACAACGTGGAAAAAGCGGGATCCGGTCAACAAGAGCTATCAACACTAAGAGCACCGTCTAACTACCTGACGTTGCCATAAAAAAGTACAACCTCAAAATTTAGACAACTAAATCGAACGAAATGTGCAAAGAAATTGATCAGTGTTTGGAAAACCGACATCAATATCGTTAGTCAGTGTGGCTGATAAAGCCGACAGGAATAACTTGAAAGGAATAACATCGACCTTTGCGACGCTCCGCACAGACTCGTGAGAGGATGAATTGGGCTCAAAATATCGTCATTCGTAATCAAGCCTAGAAACTGCGCGTCGTGACTTTCTTAATGCATGTGTGGGACAGACTGCGTATGACATTTAAGAGAAATAAACTAAGTACGCGCGTCCACTTCTACTGAATTTTACGGAGGACCGTCATGCTCAACAATTCCACAGGAAAATGAGGTTAATTGCTACCAACACCGACTTCGAGTGTAGTACGATGGAAATTGACGAAACATCTCTTTAGAGAGAAAGAAAAGTAAAGCAGGCCCAATCCGATGAGGAAGTCTCTCGCTGTGACCTTAGTAGTCACCAAGCAAATGTGGTATCTAGCGGATGTTTGGAATCATTTCACGGCGAAAATGTCTCCAAACTTACTAGTTCTAAGTACCCTGAACCAACTTTGAACTTTGCCTGATAGAAGTCCTGCAACAAAAATGGTCAAAGTTATACTAACACGGAAAATCCGGACATTGTAGTAGACGACGCCACTCACCTAGTCAATGCCCATAGAACGCAGGAAGCAGTGAGATGCTTTCTAGTACGTAGATGGTAGATAACATGCCTCTCATTGATTAAAAGTAAGATAATGGGACAGATCAAATCCGACCTCAAATCAAGAAACCAGGTTTAAGCAACAACATAAACAGATTGTTTGAACAAAAGCCAAGTTAGGCAGATACTTTACTGCAACGCAGCTAATTACCTGCGTAGTCAACTTGTGACGGACAGAAACCGTGCATCGATGTTGTACGAGTACTCAGTCTAACTTGTAAAGATAGCTGCTCAAATTCTAATACAAGATATCAACCTGAGGTTATAAGTAAAACGTTTCCTTACCTCCATTAGGGAAACTTGTGGTAGCCCTTTAAAAGTAACCTTGCGACTGTCAGCGGATTTCGCTCATTCAACCCGTTCATCTACCACTTGCTACGAAACGCATGGACACCGTAATCATGAATACGTTTCCTCTACGATCTGTCGAGTGCCTCAGTTAGGTACACCGCGTTCCTCTAGACAATTTACCGCAGGAAGTATGTCCATCATGAGTGGACAATCAAACTACACCTTGAATTCAAGTATTGACCCAACAAATACCTATCACTACAAACCCAGAAAAAGTCCCCAGCTCTAGGTGACATCCATTCATTGTCGATGTTCCTACTACTTTTAATGCAGTTTACTCTTAGGTTTATCAATTATAGGTGCCTCGTTGTCTTGCGGGTTAGACCTTAAGACCAAAGCACGGGGGTGGATTACCTTAAGTCAACCCTCTTCCTCAGCCTGGGCAACCGGGGAGATCTCTGCCCACAAAACACATTAACATTCTAAACATTCCAAATTCTTTCACTGAATTGCCGTTTTCCCCCCCTTTTGTTGTCGTTAACTATGTGCTGGGGCACTGCCAGTTGTACATTGGTCAAGTGTTGAATAATAAAAATAATAATAAGGATAATATCTATTATACGTGCTCCTCTCGCTCAGGTTTCATGTGAGTGTCATTACCAGAATTCGATACCACTAAATAGCCATGAACAAAGCAGCCATCAAATGTGCTAAAAGAAAATGGACACCTACGTTTTATATTTCGGTATTATTATTATTCTCAAGAGACCTACGAAACCCGACAGAGACACCCTGTAGAACCTCACGTAACACATGCTACTTCGATTGGTGACGGCCTGCAAAAGAAGTCGTTGCTCTGAGAGCCAGCCCTGTCCTCTGCACACTCACAACATGCAAGACAGTGGAGGATGAGCCGCGCTATATCGCAGTTAGATATCAGTGATGGCGGTCCGCCGCCGTCGCCCATGGCTCAGTGACATAAGTCGCTGACTCGCAAGTGTAAGGTCGTGGGTTCGAATCCGGCAGGATTCCGCGGGTGCGCGCTACTGACGAGTCCCAATAGGACGAAACGGCTGTCTAGCGCTTTCCTGGGTGTGTGGTGGCTGCCTGCCTGTGTTTAACTGCGACGAAACTACACAAAAACGTAACGCATTGAAAAAACAGGCAACTATGATATCTTATGAAAACTGAAAAACGATTTTCATTACTGTCATACATTTTTCGATCATTCATGGTGGTGGAACTAGAAAATGCCTTATTTACCTGAACATGCCGTCACAGGCGTGTCTCGCCAAAAACTAGAATTTATTCATTTATTTACTAAAGTAGTAGCAAACTACCAGACCTTAATAGGTACCATATTGAGGCACTAATGTTTCACGTAAACACCAACTGACGAGTCTCGACATTGTTTACTCGGTGTTCCAACCAGATGTCAGCAATACTCCGTAAGCATAAGTGATAAAACACGGCCAAATGCTTAGTGCTACTGCTGGAAACATGCCAAGCCTCTGATCAACACAGTAACATCGGCCTTATCGCAGCGTTATACACCCTACCTTTCGCTGACACGCTGATATCCCACTGTCTCCAAAGACTCAGCCATTGCTGATAAGCGAATTAACTTTGTTCAGTGATGTGATCACCAGAGATGGCACAACTACCAAGTGGTTCAGCAATTCCAGTAGCTGTTCGAAGATGACAAGGAGCTGTGATGTGCTGGTCCAGTCCTGCAGCAGTAGTTTGCACCCTGAACGTGCAAAGCACATGCCGAAGCATGCAGGGCTATGCGTTAGCGCATACCGCTTGGCGCTTGCATGTCCACTGAGTCTCATCATTTGGTCACCTGGTGGAACAACTTCCATTCCGGAAGATACTGAAAAAACGGAATCATTTATGATCATCTCGATCACAAAGTTGAAGAGTATAGTAAGTTTAAGACAACAATGGTGAATGCGACTTGTCTTAAATTGTTACCCAGCCTCGAAAGTCAGAGATTTCAGATTGGAAAGGAGTTTCCATGCTCTTCGTAGACAGACAGTAGTATATGTTGCAATGGTCAACAAAACCGAAGACGGCTTTCAGGTCAAGAAAAATCGATCATCTGTAAGTGTATTGGCTATGACAATCGAAGAAGAGTAAATATCCAGTCTTTGTAATCAGAACCAAGACGGAATCCATTTTGGCGTCTGGAGGAAGTGAAAATAAGGCTAGTTAATCGAAGATTTCCGCACGAAGTGTATCGTCTGGTTTGGGAGCCAGGACTTATATCATCAAATTCCCAAGTTGGCTCAGCAAGCCGCACTGCACACCCGCACACATGTGGCGATAAGTACAAGTAGGTCATGGCGATTCGAATGCAAGTGCCTACTTTGCGCCTACGGTACTCCATTAGTGAGAAGGGTTTTGTTCAACCCAACACGGGGAACTACTATTTTTGTCTCAGCCAACAGCATCCATACGGCATTCGAATTCATCCTTAAGGAAATCGTGTTTCTCCAAAGAGCTTTCAAGATGGTGTTTAAGGTTATAAAGTTGCATCAAACGAGCGCAAACACTCCTAAAAATGCGCACTGTTCATTAGGTGACCCATCTAAAATCAGCCGAAGTATAACAGACGGGTACATAAAGTGGGATGCTATCGGTTGACTTGGGATTGGCCACTCAATAGACAGTAGCATTTAGGATCGCTTGTACCCGTTGGGTGCGATTTAATAGCGTTAGGGACCATATTGAGGGATCTATGGAAGAAGATGAGTTATTTACGAAGGAGTTTGGAATCGCTATGGCGGCAACAGGCTGAGAAAAGGTATAGTAAGAGTCATCTGGCAATTTAACGGAGTACTAGTTAAGAGTAGTAGCGTACTCCGGTTTTTGATGATGGCAATTATGAGCACGAGGATTTGAAAGCAGGACCCGTCCATATGATGACACAGTGAGACGCTGAGATGGCTGCTATGAACAGCCTGGGAGAAAAGGCTGATTTCCGATAGACAGACAATAAAGCGGTGACTACAACCAATGGAAAAGTTCGTGATCGAAAGGCCATAGTTGAAATCAAGTAATCCATAGATTATATAACAAAGAGAATACACAATGATACAACCACGACGAGTCTCTCTAACCTCCGGTAAAACTGACACAAGCATACATCGTTCACAAATGTTGGGGTAAACGGCATCCACAGATGGATGAGGAGTGCTGACACAAGAGTACACACGCACACGCACACACACAGGAGAGGGGGGGACAAAGGTGGCGGACAGAGATGAGCATACTCTCGCTTGCAAGTGCAAATGGGTCCAAGCGATCGTGATACACACAGAAAAATCGGACACGCGGAATTGGCGACGAAAGGGGGGACTAAGAAGTAGATGGGGTAAGGTACAAAGGAGTCGCGAGGTTACAAAAAAAGAGAATAAACAGGCCGACGGTCCGGTCTAACCACTGGGAGGAGGGAAGACAACGAACCTGAATTAAACTGCGCGGGCGTGTGTGCACACGCCAAGAGCATGTAATACAAGAAGCGAGTAGAATGAGACAAGATGAATAAGGGGCAATCTGGGATGGTGTCAAAATACACGGTTAAGCATCAGCGCGGGGCCAAAGTAGAAAAATATGGCCTCGTGAGTCGGGGGGGGGGGGGGGGGTGAGAAGCGTCCATGAAGTGGTTGGTAAATGCAAAGGGTGTGCCTTCAGGAGATCAGCAAGCTCTGAGTTCATAATAAACGCGCATGACTATGCTACTAAGATCCATCCAGTGCCGCGCGTTCGTAGACCACACCTGTGAAGAAAGTGAAAGGATTCAGTAAAGAGATAGGAAAATTGGGGTGTGAACTGCTATGCAAGACTCAGGAATGTGGATATTTCACGTCAATCAACAAAATCAAGGTGAAATTAGATTCGGGACGGAATAAAAATGAATTTCAGCACGAGAAAAATTGAAGTGTTAGTATCACGGGTTGGCTGACTGGATTGCACATGTTACGCTATCAATTGAGGTAACAACATTGTCAGTACGGAATAGTTGGTGAGTTGATCGCAATCAATTACAGGTAGCAGGCAAATCCCGATCTTTCGTTAAACTCGTAATGATCTCGTGATGATCTTGATTAATTTTGGCTGGTTGTTCATCGCTATACATACTGATCCTGGGTTAAGAAATATTGTGGCGACATGAGTTGGACCTGCGAATTTCGATATATGTAGTAGATGTAAAGTCACGTGGTCGCGTTTACGTCGACCGTCCTGTTGTTCGTCGTTCTAGAAATGGATTCTCCACAGTAATAGTATAATCGCAGACAATAGTATTTGCCCTACTTTTAATGTGTAAAGTAACGGATAAGCAATAAAAACGAAGCCGTGACTAACGCCAAAAATCTAACTAAAGATCGGAACTGTAGATGATCACACCCGCCTTCGGGATCCGCCTGCCACCTGCGCTTGTAACCAACCAACTCTCCCGTAATGACTTGTGAGGAGGCAACTGCAAATCTCGGCGAACCATTCAACAACAACTAAGTGAATTATAGCTAACCAATTAGAGAGGATCGACCACCGGAAATATAAACAACAAACGGATGTAGAAAAACCCTGAAGGCTTTATCCGCTCAATGATCCTCACGCCCTGATTCCCATAATGCAATCCCTTTCTAAATCCAAATCCAAAATTTGGGTGTGCTGTGATGCGATGGTAACACAATTCCATGTTCAGTTGCACTTTGAGAACGTGTCGTGTGATATTAAACCGCTCACAAATCGTGGTCGTTTAAACTTTTGAGAAAATTCATTATCACTTCACCTAGTAATGGCATACGTGTTATCGGTGCTTTGGAGTGTTTCAAACTCTACCTCCTTGTGGTATTTGTACCCTGATGTATAGACTAAGTTGTATTGACGCGTTATGAGCGCGGTTCGTGTTACCTCGCATTGCAAAAAATAACCTCATACTATTGCAATGTTGATGTGGGTATACGTCACACACACACACACACACACACACACACACAAGAAAATCATTTCATGCGTGCAGCTAATTATTTTCGTCCACATTTTCTTTATGTACAATTGCCCATCTGCAATGCCAGACCGTTACTGGATGTGTAGCGCACAGATTCAACACCTAGGGCTTAGTGTAGCATTCTTTTAATTGAACAACTGTCTTAGTCCACCGTCCTGTAAAAACCGGAGTATTAAGACGTCGCTAGTTTGTTCTACGTGTGACATGAAGCCATTGTGGTTGGATATTTTGAGGGAATTAAAAGTTGTTGATAATGAGTTGTGCTGAAAGCACAGATGATTGAGGTACTGTACATTTGTTGCTGTCATTTGCTTGTAAATAGTACCGTTAGCCGATAACAGCATTGGTGTTGTCAATCCCATAAAAACACGTTCGCGTAAAACTTCCAAGCGGCTTTTCGTTTACAACTGACAAGTAACACATTCATAGCAGTAATCCCGTGGAGTGAGTAATGCAGATGGCTGCGTCATGAGTAGTACACGTTAGTTAAAGGTGAGAAACACACTTCGGCTATCACAACACAAGAGAAAAAGATAAGATATATGAAAAAAAACAAGATAATAAAAGTGGAAAACAAATAAGTTGATGTTTACCATCATACGCGCACATCATACTACGCGTCGAGTGTGAGATTCTGGTTGCAGAGGGAAATTGAGTGGGGGGGAGGGGAAGAAATAAAGAAACTCGTAACACAAACGCCATGTCAACAAGTGCATCCAACCAAAGTTGTTCACTGTCCTTCGGACCCCAGCCCGGCAGTCGAAAGGCCCCAACCGATGCCAAGTTCGAAGTGAGGGAATTCATTCCTCTATAGACTAAATCATCGCTTGGTCTCCTCTGGTCTTCTTACATCCACGCCCCCGGCGCGCAAACAACGCACGTCGCGGAGGTCGTTGTACCGACATGTGCCCAGCCATGGGTGAGTGATATAACGGTGATAGACAATTCACTCGATCTTCCTACACCAAAATGATACACCGAGCGCCCTCAGTACTCACGCGGTGTTCCCACTAGACATGAGCCAAACTGCGAAGGAAGCGATGGTCGAACGTAATTAGTCTTTTTATGTTCGTCGATCTGAGTAGCTAGGTTTCACAACCGCACAGGAGAGTTGAATGCAAAGTTGCGCCTCGAGGTTCGGCTATGGGGTTCATGACAGCACCTTCTATTCTACAGGTGCCAGTATAACTGTCTAGGTACTTAGATTTCTGGGCGACCTGCAGCTGATCATCACCAAGGGTCAGCGCAAGAGTGGGTACCTGCCAATCTCGGTGAAGGACTTCGCATTTCGACAGTGCAAATCATAGCCGGAAACGACTGACAGCCAGTGCTAATTTGTCCAGTGTTGCTTGGCACGTTTGAGAGCTATCACAGATAAGAGTAATGTTGTCGGGGTACGCCAAGTCCAGAAGTCGATCACCTGGCAGAAACTCCACGTCTTGCAGGTCGTGTCCAGTGAATGTAGTCTCTATGGTTTCGTCGTCGTCGTCGAAGTTAAAAAAGGAAAGGTGACAGCTGACATCCTTGTTCCACACCACTATAGATATCGAAAGGTGGCGACGATTTTCCGTAAGTTCTCACTCTGCCCGAACTGTGCGTGTAAAACGCTCTCTTGTCACATATTTATCAGGAACAGCTTTCCTGAGCAAACAGTTCCAAGGGACACACCAATCCATCGAATCGAAGGCGCCTTTGATTTCGAGGATCATGACTGCGGCGGACCATCAACAAGCATGACCGTGATCCAACAATTGTCGTAAGGTGACGCTGTGATCACTGCAGCTTTGACTTCGGTGGATTACGGCTTACTCTTCACAAATCTGGCGGCCACGGGTGCCAGTTAGTCTATGGAGAACGACAGAAGCAAGTAAGAGACAAAAGGGATCAGACTGACCTCCCTACGATTGCAACATTAAGAATGTGAGCCTGTCTTAAAATTTGGGCAACAACAGAACGGCTCCAGTCTGTTGGGACAGTCTTCTGATCCCACAGCTTTACTTGTAAGTTGTGCAAATCATCCAAAAGAGCTGATCCCCAGAAGTGAAGAGGGTTGAAGGAAATCAATGTTACCGAGGCTTTATACGAGTTTAACAATCTGATGTCATGTTCGACTTCTGCGCGTGAGGGCGGATCCAAGGAGATGGCCCAGTGAGAAGGGCGATCAATGTCTGAAAAGATGATGACTGGTTAGTTAAATTGATTTCCGAAGTGATCGACAAATTCTCCAAACGTTTCGACAAGCCGTGGGATGGCTGTCGATTTTCGTAGCACATAGTACGGCTAAGACCAAGTTTCCTGCTGACCGTTTCGAGTAGCCAACGTACTAACGTAGTTACTGAGGACAGCGGCCATTTCCATCTCCGAGCTACGAAGAGACAACCACACTTCGCGGTTTCTCTTCAGACTCGCAGACAGTTTTGCGCTGACGTCTTCTTGTGTTTGCGTTCAGTCGTAATATGTCGGCGAGCACTTAGCAGTTTCAGAGACTGCGTATAGACCTAATGTCCAGGTTGGCAATTTGATGTACCACAAGAAGACATGCCTGCTGCTGCTCATAACGTCTGGCGGAATTGCGACTTGGGACACCTGGCCGTGGTCAGTGAGCATTTACTCAGCTCGGTTGTGAATACAGTTGATACGGATTCAGAACCCATGGCTTCGCTAGTTGACTGGTGTCCAGGCGCTCACAGGTGTCGTCGCAGGTGTCCACCGAGGCAAAATCGGAGATCGGCACATACAAGTGCGTAGTCCGAGTCCACGCTCGTACTCCAGATCGTGCGGCAGTTTTCGACACAGCCAGTACAACGATGAGACCAATCTGCGTCCATGGCTGGTTGACGCCATGTCCCCCTACTGCGGGAGCTGTGTCGGAAGTTAGTGGTCGTGAGAAAGTGGCGAGCATCTGCACATAGATGTAGCAACCGCTCACGGTTATCATTACGAGAGCCTGCACAGTGTTAGCCGCCTAGATGCAGTTAGTCAGCGGACAGTTTGCAACTCGAGCGTTCAGATCTCCAGTCAGCACTACAGTATCCATACTACTGCTAGGAAGAAGGAGCACACTAGGCTGATGATGAAAATCATTTTCCACCGATTCTGCGCTACAGTTTGTGGGCGCGTAGGCAGCAATGACAAACATGTACGAATGGCCCCGCTGGGCCTCGGAGCTATAAACGAGTTAGGCAGATGAAGGACATCCGGGTGTTGTTTGGGATTCCATCTATCAGGGGAGCTTCAGTCCAGGGGTTCAGAGCAATGTCCGAACAAGCTTGAACAACAACCGAAGCTGCGTTAGCTTCAGAAAAGTGTAATGAGAAAGTACCGCCAATATGGCGTGAAGGGGATTGCAGGGTGAGCACAGAGTTCGTCCTGCAGGTGGATATTTGATAGACAGTAGATATCAATTGACAGGAGTTCTAGTGTTAGGGCAAATGCTGCTTGTTGGCCAAGTTGCAACAAAGCGCGTACTTTGAAGCATACCAGCCTTAGTGAGGACCAGGCGCTGCAAAGAGAAACGGATGTACTGAGGTTGTCCGCTTTGTTGAACATGAATTTGTCGACTGGATCGGAGTGAGGCGCTGCGATTGCGTGTGAGAAAAAGTTAGAAAACATGCGACCATCGGAGCAAGAATGCGAATTGAAAATAGGGGGGATAAACGTGCAGTAGGAAGGGGGCGATAAGGATGAAAACGCGCAAGAGGGGGGTTAGGAGAAGGGAAGACTTGAGCAGTAGCATCCTAACCCCTATCCACCCTGCTCGATGCAGCAGATAGGGTGCAGTTGATTAACCTCTGAGACAGTCAGAGCATCAAGAAATCGTTTCGTAGGTTACTGATTTGCATGGGCAGGACACTGACAGGTTTTCCATGTCAAGAGAGAACGATTAAGGATCTCAACCAAATCCTTTGATTCAAATGCTGAGCACAAGACTACGGGGTTTCGGCGCTGGGCTACAGGGAGTCCGCGTTATGGTGTAAGGAGCCACCCCCACTCCAGCCCCCAACCAAGAGGGCCAGGAGAATAGGTTTTTCTGACGGATGACAATTGTCCAATCTGGTATGAGTGGCTCTGAGGGTGCAGAAAACACCACCCAGGATAGTTCAACGGATCAATGAGGCATGCAAAGTATCGCACCACGTTAAGGTCCAGTCTCAGGACGACGGGACGCCTTAGCCGGATGAATGCCATTTCAGTCTGTGCAACGGGAGTGGACAGATTTGACATATTACAACGGGGACATTTGTCAAGCGGACAACATACAAGCGTTCGATAATACATTCGCGTACAGCTAGACTGCAGGGGACAGGCGTTGTTGTTACAAACAAGGATCCAAGCATTCTCAGACGATGAGGTGAGTACACTTAAACAGAGTACGGCAGAATGAGTAGCTCTCACCCAAGTTGAGTTGTGCAAATTGATTTTTTACAAACTGTTCCAGATGGCTTCCGCTAATCCACACATCCGAATCGGCCGCATTGTAAAGCTCTGCGTTGTAGAACATGGTGCCCAGATCGCGGGCAAGCAAGCGCAATCCTTCCATAGAGTTAGGCGAGTCATAGTGTCCATCTGTGAGCCGTTGTCGAAGCATACTGAGGTCTATCGGATTGGTGATGATTTCGTAATAGTCCGGAACCTGAACAAGGAGAATAAGAGGTAGTGAGATCAATTGCGAGGAACAAAGTATAAGGGGTGAAACAACGAATGCGGACAGATAAAGTGACGATTTCAATCTAGTCTCAATACTCTCGCATGATACACAAGAACACAGGTGGCCAGCGGTATTTGCTTACTATCCAGGAGACGGATAAATGAAAACAAGAGTTAATGAATGACACGCAGCCTACAAAATATGCTGCCTATAGCACGCGAAGCCGTTATCTGGTCTGCAGTGTTCCATCACCATATGTCACGTGCACATCATACCGGATGCCACAAAATTTCAACCAACGTAGATAACCGAGCGTCTGCCGTCGCGTTGTCTCAGGCGCAGTAGCTACTGGACTCCGGAGATGGTGCGGTGAAGCGCTCATACGAATAAGCGAATCGATTGTCTCGGTCAATTTATGAGTTCACCGGTCCAAATATTCAGGGGCGTATCGGAACCGATAGCACAGCCATAAGTTAATACGGTACAAGAGGCACCGGAGACAAATCTCAGACCACCTCACGTCACTGCAACCGTGCTTGTCTATGCGCGTGAAACAAGAGAAACAACAAGAAAACTGCAAGTAGGATGCTACCAGAAGTGATTGGAAAGGTACCCCACCACGCAAAGGTTATATTTACAGCATCTAGTAGACAAGATCAATAAATAACAACAACAACAACAACAACAACAACAACAACAACAACAACAACAACAACAACAACAACAACAACAACAATAATAATAATGTGCACTCAGCGCACATTTCTCTCATTATGGAAACCAAAAAAGGAATGATAAAATACAATGGCCTTTCAGAAACTAGCGAATTGTGCAGCAAGTGCTTGTTACCATGATCCCAAAACAGGGGGTTTAACACCTCAGGCTACTTTAAGTGCCGCGATGCAGCTGTGTTTCCGCAAACGGGTAAGCAAGTTCGCGCCACAGACACCAGTCTATCGATGCAGACGTGCCTTGCGCATGCCCCGCCGTCGAAAAAGAGAGGGATGCGATGACGCACCTCGGGAAGCCGACGCCGCTGGCCCCCAGCTGTGATCGCATGGAATAGTATGGAACAGTTCGTACAGTCCAGTGCACATATGCATAAATACTTGACCCCCAATCTAATCGAACAGAGAGCAAAACAACTAATGAAAGAGAGAAGGATACACAGATAAATCTTGGGTTGGGTGTTGATACATGGCTTCGGGTAGGTTCGAAGGTCAATCGCTGACGAAACAAGGAAACAGATTGGCTAGAATCGTCCCACAGCGAGTAATTAAATGCAACAGAGATCTTACGAGATGATAGAATGGAAAGTGACTCACAAGAGGAACTTGCAATCATGCACCTATCAACTGTAACATTTACGCGCGTGGACGCGCTGTCAGACAGCCAAGGATTAGGCGAGAAGTTAGCTATCCCAGTCGAATCTAACTCCCGAGCGAAAGTGGCAGGACGCATCAATCATTGTGCCACGTAGACATATTGCGCAAATCCACGATGAGAACGTCATCAGTTACCCTAGGAGACCAACGACCTAAGACATTTTCATAGGTAGCGACACACCAATAGACACGAAGAAGTAGCAAATGAAGAAGTTTCAGATCAGATGCCAAGGTTTTAACGGTTTTAGAAGGATAGAACTCTCAATAAAGTATGCGAGCCAATAAATCGCACGCATACGTTCTACACAAGATAGCGCAGTATTAGCGGTGTACTTACGGTGGAGAAGTGTGCTCCTCTCCGCGACTCGGTCGAAGAAGCAGATACACTGGAGTTAAAGTTTACAAATAATCCAGCGCAAAGTGATCATGATAAGAGGCAAAGTCTGCTTCAGTAACGAACAGGACGGAGATGGGACAAATAAAGCATTCAATATGGATGAGTATTCAAACCTGAACAATTCCCTTGGAACCATGAATATGCACAGCCCTTGAATGGCTGCGGATATGCTGCAAATCGTTTGCTGCTAGGTCTCGGTGAATGTGAACGGAGACCTGTCAGAAGTGGTACAACTTATTGGATCTGCCTTCGTGTCTCTGTCAGAGGGATTGCACACTTAACAACCTAAGAAGAAGACCTAGTCAAATGAGAAAGAGCTCAGTGAAAAGATCCACATTTCATAGCCGGACAACGCAGATGGAAGTTCGAAGTGATCCTGAGGAAGTGCTCATGAAGTCAAATTCATTGGTAGGCGTACGTGACACAACAAACCTTCCGCAGCTAGGTGTGACCGTAGTTATGCAGAGAAAACGAGCGACACCAGGTTAAACTTGTTCCCGTCTGTAGCAAAAACGGAATCCGGCATCAATGCTTTGCTGTAACACAATCATTACAGAATGACACGCACTGGGGGGGGGGGGAACAAAAAGGGCGTAGGACAGTAAACCATTGTTCAAGAGCAAGGCACATGTGATTAGGAGGAGAGGTTCGCATAGAAACAGGCAAATTCCGGAGACAGAGGGATACTCCGTGAGATACACCGCCTTGGTTTATGGTTAGGAGAGTCCAGGTAAGCAAGTAAACTGCAACCAAGGGGCCCAAATGCAGTGAAGTAATTAAAAAGACCGGCGTCGACATAACAATATAAAAAACGGAATGACAATGCAACAAACGGTTAGGGTGAATAGAGGGATGGAGGGGAAAGGTAAACACGCGGATAAAAACTCTCCAAAAAGGAATGAAAAAGTGCGTAGCCTCTATAGGACAAATTTAGTAGGTCAGAATCCCGAACAGTATGAAAAGGTATCTAAGTTCACAACATAACCATGTGAGAGATAGTAATTAATCACTGATGGGACAGATACCACGAGTACCGACTACTGGTTGGAACCAGCAAGTAGAGTTTGCTCTGTGTAGCTGCATCTAATGTCACTCAGGGACAAAGACCCCTTATGTTGTGTTGCGCTCAATATATTTTGCGTCAGCAAAGGGTTTGTCCAGGAACTTCTTAAATTCCGACACCGACTTTGCCTCAACTACGTGTTGCGGCAGGTCGTTCCATACATGGTGAGCGACCCGCTTCAAATCCGGTACGACAAGCTTGTACCGGTGTCCTCGTGTGCTGCTTGGTGTGCGCAGCGGAGAGTTTCGATCTATTTTCCCATACTCTGTCATTAAGTCATTGATAACCAACCCGTGAGGCCTCATCCAACTGGGCAGTGTTGACTATATATATATATATATATATATATATATATATATATATATATATATATATATATATATATATATATATATATATATATATATATATATATATATGGCGGGAGAGCCTATGGTGCGCTGAGGCTGGTGGTGGCTAGATCCTGACAGATGGTCTACCCAATGCTGCTACTGTTGTGCCATTTGCTCATGTCCTGGGCGCCTCCTCGTGGCGACCGCTGGGTGGGATTTGGGTTTTGCCCTTCTCCCTGCTAAGATCCAGGACACCAATCCGCATGAGTCAGTGAACTGACCATGTGCTAGACCCGCTGCCTTTCGGGTGTTCATTTTTTCGAAGGCTTTGGCTGAGGACCCGAGTCGTTCTCCTGTCAGGATTGGGCGCCCTGGCAGTATCCTAGTCCATCCTCTCCGGAGGTTAGGAAGTGGTCGATGGCCCACTTCCCGTAAAACCTAGCCATGGGAGACAACAGGTTTACGGGTGATATTCTCAAAGCTCGATTGGCGTAGAGCACGAGGGCCACGCATTGTCTCTGACGGTGGGAGGACACCTCCGGGTGTTCAATGGTTTGCTACTGCCCGCCTCAAGCCAGGCAGCCCCTGGTCAAATTGGTGCAAACCCGCCAAAAACCCACCTGCGTCTGGCCGTGGTCGCAGGTGCGTATCCAATTACGGTCGCAAAACATGATAATTGTTCCAGAACCTCAAAGGCTGCGTGTGACGGCCGTCAAGCAGATCCCAATCTGTCACTGCAATCACATTCCCGAGCTGGATCTGCTCTCCACTGCCTTGTGGGTCAGGCTATTGAGCCAAAGGCTCCGGGTGGAGTCCCTCAAGCAAACCTCCAAACCACCCACTGCCTTGTGGATCAGGCTATTGAGCCAAAGGCTCCGGGTGGAGTCCCTCAAGCAAACCTCCGAAGCACAACGACCACCTCGCGTGCGATTGCCCACCAATGCAATCGTAGGCCTGCGCGCAAAGCACTCAGCATCGGGTGCTGGAACGTGCGCACACTACTGGACCGGAACTCCAGCGAGCGCCCGGAGCGACGCACTGCACTGGTCGCAATGGAGCTGGCGCGCTACCACATCGATATTGCGGCGCTCAGTGAAACTCGGCTCGCTGAGCAAGGTAAGTTACATGAAGCAGGTGCTGGCTACACATTCTACTGGGTGGGGAACGCCGCCTCAGCACCACGTGAACATGGGGTCGGATTTGCAATATCCGATCGCCTGAATGGCCAGCTGGTGGGTGAACCAACGGGCATCAGCGCGCGACTGATGACTGTTCGCCTACGACTCGGAAGAGGTAAGTTTGCTACTTTTATAAGCACGTACGGTCCGACCATGTGTTATCCTGATGACACGCGTGATCAGTTCTACACTGAGCTATCCTCCGTGATACGGTCTGTGCCGAGGAGCGACCGACTATTTCTGCTGGGTGACTTCAACGCGCGCGTTGGGCGTGATGCATCAGCGTGGACAGATGTTATCGGTGCGCATGGCATTGGTTCAGCGAATGCGAACGGTGACAGGCTGCTCTCACTGTGTGCCACTCACGGCCTGACGATCACGAACACTCGGTTTGCACGGAGTGCGAGTGATATAGCAACTTGGACGCACCCACGGAGTGGTCACGCTCACCTGCTCGACTATGTCATCGTACGTCAGCGTGATATGCGTGAAGTGCGCATGACACGTGTACTGCGTGGAGCTGAGTGTGGCACTGATCACAAATTGGTTCGGACCAAACTGTACATATATTTTCGTAAATCTATGTATTGTACTCCCGCCGTGAATCGGCGTAAATTTAACATTCTCTCC